CACAGCTCCAGAGCCAGAAAACCTGCAGGAAGTGATAGGAGGAGAGAGGAGAGGGACGAGAAAGCACAAGACTACCAGAAAGGGGAGAAGTTGTGTTAGTAACATGCAATAATGGGATAAGGTTGCATACAGAGGGAGAGAAAGTAGAGGAGAGAGGAGCTCAGTGCATCATGGGAAATCCCCCGGCAGTCTAGGCCTATAGCAGCATAACTAAGGGATGGTTCAGGACTACCTGAGCCAGCCCTAACTATAAGCTTTATCAAAGAGGAAAGTCTTAAGCCTACTCTTAAATGTGGAGATGGTGTCTGCCTCCTGAACCCAAACTGGAACCTGGTTCCACAGGAGAGGAGCTTGATAGCTGAACGCTCTGGCTCCTAGTCTACTTTTGGAGACTCTAGGAACCACAAGTAACCCTGCATTCTGGGAGCGCAGTGCTCTGGTGGGGTAGTAAGGTACTATGAGCTCTTTAAGATAAGATGGTGCCTGACCATTAAGAGCTTTGTAGGTAAGAAGAATTCTGGATTTTACTGGAAGCCAATGCAAAGAAGCTAAAACAGGAGAAATGTGATCTCTTTTCCTGGTTCCTGTCAGAACACGTGCTGCAGCATTCTGGATCAGCTGAAGAGTCTTAATGGACTTTTTCGAGCAGCCTGATAATAAGGAATTGCAGTAATCCAGCCTAGAAGTAACAAATGCATGGACTAGTTTTTCTGCATCATTTTTAGACAGGATGTTCCTGATTTTCGCAATATTACGTAGGTGAAAAAAGGCGGTCCTTGAAATTTGCTTAATGTGGGACTTAAACGACATGTCCTGATCAAATGTTGAGTTTTTGCAACCAGGAAGTGCCCATATTTGGACGAGACGGCTGAGCTAACGGCCGTGTGCGGTGCTAGCTAGCTTGCGTAGCTAGGTGCATCTGTAATACGTTATGTTAACTCAAAACGTCATTTTAACAGGGCTGACAACTTTGTCTAGCGAACAACAGGTTTAAAACTAAATGTACTTGCCAGAGAAAGTGAACAGCCAACTCCTAATAAACTTTTTCAACGGGGCTGGTTAAATTTACACAGTGCCGTGGGTATGAGTCCGCTTTAGCCTGATTGACAGATCGCCATGGTAACGACTTGTTAATCATAGATCATCCTGCCCTGAAACATACTGCTTTATGGTCTATTTTAAAATAAATGGGACCATAATTTACTAAATGAACATCCTTTTGTATTGAAGTAGACATGAAACTAGCGATTAAGACCATAAACTCATCTTGAAAGTGTTTACTGAGGTAATTATTCAGCTGAGAAGTAGGGTCATTTTGCCATTATTTCTAATGGAGCCGGACTTCTTTTTGCAACCAGAAGAGTCGCCCCCTGCTGGCCGTTCAATAGAAGTCAGGTTTCAAGGACTTCCGCGTTCACATCAGATTACTGACCAGAAGCTTCCCGCTTGGTGACAGTGTTAACATGCTAATGTTGCTTTAACATTAGCATGTTAACACTATGTATCATTTCTATCTTACAATAACAGCTTCAATATAAATGTTGGTACACTGACTTCTAATCATGGTGAATGACGTCACTATCTTTGCGGCTCGGGCCCATGGAAGCTTTGTCCGGCACTATGCAGTTCTAAAATCCCGGGGGAGATTTCTATCAACAAAACTCTTAAGCAAGCAAACTATGAGAAGAAGCAAAAGGTGTGGAAGTTCTTTGGAAGAAACTAGCTTGGTATTATCTGTGTGGATGTCATGGCAGAAACTCCAAAGAGACTAAAGATGTTTAAGAAAGCAAGGAAGAGAAAAAGAGACAGTGGCAAGCAAATTTCGGACTGTCTTTTACTTGTTGCCATGAGCCAAAATTGCTGCAGAACAGATGCAGAGCTCGTCTTCTTTCTGTTGGCTTGCTATGTCTTGTGGTGTTCTGCTTGCTTGATGTTTGGCTATGTTAGCAAAGGTGTCACAATCAGCCAGAGGGTTCATAAACAGAGGAGGCGGTAGCTATAAATCTCGAGTTGATGTTACAAACTTACTAAATAACACACTTGGACATGGGTAACATTACTGTAAGTGCTCTTGCAATTTGTTTGCTGTCTAGCTTTGTTGGCTAGCTTGCTAGTTTCAAGCAACATTATGCTGCTGCCAGTGTTGTACCTGAACCAGACGAGCTGGCAACATAAGCAGGCTCAGTAGCCTCTATGGATATAACATTAGTTAATTAATAGCACAGGCGAATAGACAGAAGAAAAGAAAACATAATGTTGTTTTAAGTAGGTTTATTTATCATGTTCACCATCTTAGTTTAGCCTGTTAGCATGCTAACATTTGCTAATTACTACTAAAAACAAAGTAGGCTACAGGTAAGTAGGGAATACAAACCAAAGTATTTGAAACGTTTAAATTTTGACCTGATGGTAGCGACAGATGAAAAGTTAAGGGATCAACAAAGTGAAAACAATTTGTTCTGAGGGAAACATGAATGTCTGTCCAAACTGTCATGGAAATCCATCCAGTGGTTTTTGGGAGATGTAGTGATCAGTGTGTTCCAAGGTGGTGGACTGGCTGACTGACAGACTGAAATTGCCATCCCGAGAGCCATGGCTAAAAATAAAAACACACAGCGTCAACTTTCCTACTACAGCTCAGTGACTAATAATTTACTTAGTCTTACCTGAACACGTAATCTCTCGTTTGCTCGGATAAGCACAGTGGTGAGTTAAACAGGCAATATCACTATTATTACTATTACTACTACTAAGAAAATAATACACATTAACAAACAAAACAATACTTGCATTGGCTACTGTACTTATTATTGCTGATACCAAAATGTTGCTATAGAAGCAAACAAGCACACACATGCATCAATTCTAGCACAATTTAATTTGCTTTAGAACAAATTTACCCTTCCTTCAACCCGATGCACACCTATTTTCAGTATGAGCAGATGACCTGCAGGGAAAAACAACACTGTACATTGAAGTTGACTGATATATAAACTGACTATAAAAAAAAATGGCTGAAATTACTTATTTACTGGTAATGTTGGGTAAATTGCAATTAGATAAAATTTCCCTTCCTAATTTGGAGTTGCAAAGAAGCAGCCTCCTTACTATACATAAGCAATCGTCTTAATGACAACACCAGACACAAGCACCAGACATGTCATCATCAAGATATGATCAATTAGCATGTGCAGCACATACAATATGCCAGCTTATCCTGCTAATAGCTGCTCCTGTTATCCATCTTGGAATCTTAATTATCTTACTGTTATAATTATGAATTATAGGTCAGACGTGACTACACATGCATCATCTGACCACTTGTCGAGGATTATTTCCATTTTCTTCTCTTTGCCACACTGCTGTATGGTGTTTATGAATGAGGACAGAAATCGCTAATGTGCTAATTTCATAAACATGCATAATTAGAGCATCATGTTTACACATCACCTATTGAGAATCACTGCACTGAAATGATTTTAACCAGGTCACTTTTCCAAAGAGAAAGATACAGCACTTTTCTGTGGTGCCAACTTGTTACCTTTTGGCGAAAATCCCCATTTTGAATCCAAAAATGCTTATATAATGTTACTAACGTTGCCATTTTGCCAATGGTTACAACATAAGTTGAGCTCCTTAGCCAAAGTGACAACTAAACGTTAGCGCCTGATGGTTCATTTTCTTGATTCTAAGATAGTTTAATGTTGCCTGAGAAGAGGGCAAATGCCAAGCTCACTGAAAACTAGAAAAGCTGAATTACCCTGTGACAGTCTTAATTTAAGTTGCAGTGTTTTTATAAATGTATACCTAAGGTTTTTTTTTTATTGACCACACAGCAGTTGCAATAGCTGTAAAGAGCAAAATCCACATTAATCTCTACTAGCCACACACAAACATTAGGAGCTATAGACAGAATCATACCATTTTGAACAAGGCTCTAAGCATAAAAAACAAATGGATCTGTTACCTGGCAACAATTTTGCATCCAACAGTGCCCCTAACTCACCAAATGTATCCCTAGCTTATTGTTGACTGAGTATCAAAACATCAACAGCGAGCTTAGAGGCATTTAGGGAGTTTTTGGGTGCTGTAACAAAACCAGGAAGTATTTCTTTAACAGAGAAAGTGTTATTTTGATACTCACTGAATACAATGAGATCAGACTGTTTGCACTGGGGAGGGCAGCCTGATAAGTACCAGTGTAAAAATGATTGTGCCTTCAGTATTGATTGTATTTGTAGATTTTTTCAATCATTCAAAAACACAAGCAGCATCCATAAGACCCATTGTGGATCAGGTATGTTTACACACAAGTGAACTCTTTTAAAATGCAAGTATTTAGTATTTAGCGTGTTACTTATGCTTATGAGTTACTGCTACTACAATATTTATGGTGTCCTGATTTTAATTTACCTTATAAGCCTGTATGTTACCAAATGTTGATCATAAGGGACTTTGAACTTCTCAACCACGATACCTAATGAGAAGTGCTGATCAAAAATACCATTTATGAGCCTATTTGTCCATGTAACCACATACGAAATGGTAGTTGATTGTGATTTTGACAAATCTAGTCATAAAACTGCTATTTAACTGTTAATTATGTACACACACAGTTACTGCATTGTTCAACATTTCAGAATCTTAACTGAAAATACTTGAACTAAATGTCCAATATCTGTAATAGTTGACTAATTTTGATAAACTAGTTACATTTACTTAAAAAAATAAACAAAAATACAGAATGATAGTCTACATGTTCAGAGTAATGCACCACAGAGTGGCCATGTGGTGTTGTTCTTATTTTATATTGTGCAGGTAGTGTCCTCTAGTGGCCACATATAGGGTTTGCCCTTTCACTAGTTGAGTCATAGCACGCCTGTAGTATCAATTAATTGAATCCGATGATGACAGACTGATAAATAATTCAACCACAGTCACTTTTTGATGGATTTAATATATTGATGTAAATGTACTGTGTCTCCAAGCATTTTTTCTTTTGCTGCTGATGTTGAAATTGATGACAGTTATGTTAAAAATCCTTGTTTTTTTGTGTCTCAGAGATTCTTCACAGATGTGAGGCCTCTGGCAGGGCGTTGGCTCTTTCTGGCTGGTGGCCCCCAGTGGGAAGTTTCATATGGAGCAAAGTATACACACCTCTGACTGTGAACAGCACAGAAATGGCAGCAAAGTACGAGGCGTAGATAAGAAACTGAAAAGAAATGTGAGGATTACTTGCAGTGTGGATGAATTGTAAATAAATAAATAAATTTATCCAATTATTCCCTTTGTCCAATTGTGGTCCGTCTCTCTCTGTATGCTCATCGAACGCTCTTTAAACAGCATAATTTTGTTCTGTGGCTTTTATAGCAGTTTATTTATTCAAATGCAGTTTCTTTATTTCTTAATTCCTACTACTCAATCTTCTACTTGCAATGTATTAAACTCAAATATTAAAATAAACTCAAATCATCTCCTGAACTCAATGTTTGATTTGTGTGTACGGCATTACCTGCGAGGTGATGGTGAGCTGAAGAGACTTGGTGTTGATGACGATGGCGGTAAGGACACTCTGAAGGACTGTGCCCACAAAACTGTTCATCCCGAATACTAAAGCAAAGCGGCTCCTGTTCAGCATCTTGGCTATCTGAAAACTGGGATATACATAAATTTTTTTCTTTATTTAACCTAATGATCTCATTGAGATTTAAACCCCCTTTTTCAAGAGAGACCAGGCCACAGCTATAGATACAGACACCAGACACACCCACAACAACCAAAGAACATTCAACTAAGACTCTTAAGTTACACAAATAAGCACTTAAAAGTACAATTTATGCATTAGTTTAAAGAAGTATGTTATTTTAAAAGCAGTGACAACGATTAATGGCATATAGTTCCAAGTCTTTAATCCAGTGTTTAAATTCACCAAAGGAGATCAGATTTTTCAGCTGCAAGTCAGTATGCTATGTATTCCACGTAAAAGGAACAGAGGGACCCGAGTGCAAATTATAGGAACTGGTGTTGCATGACATATAGGTGCAAGAGGAGGGGGTTTAGAGGGGAGCATACCAAGTATGAACTTGTAAATAAAAGTAAGCCAGTGTATGTGCTAGGGTTGGGTGATGTCTTCAAAATTGGCACGCCAGTGTGTGAGACCTGAAGTGTAGGTGTGTGTTTGTGTATCTGAGTGTGGGGAGAAGAGAAGTCAGAGGCAGGTACAAAGCAGGTATATTGTATAATAATAATAATAATAATAATAATAATAATGTTTGTGGGGATTAAACCTGCTTTCACAGGACAGTATAATGTGAAAGATTTAGGGATTTTACTATTAAAGGCGGCTCAACATTGTGATGTCTGTTAGCTATCGCCAATGGTTTATGGCATCGTCTATTGGCCCAACCCTATTGTGTGCCTCCTCATTGATAATGAGGGCCAGTTTGTCATTTTGTACATCAGTACAATGATGTGTAAATGCTTTACATCTAGTCACAAATCTCAGTGCACTATGGTAGACAGTATGCAACAAAGATAAAAATCGGTCAGGCGCATTTCTATAAAGCAGATCACTGTAATCAAAGGCAGTGAGAAAGGTTGCAGCATTTAATCTCAGGCCTTATTTCTAAAATAAAATCCTATTTTTAGTTTGAGCTTTTGAGAGTTGATCATCAATTAAAATACATCAACTATTTGTACATTTGGACTTGTTCAATCTGCTAAGCTTAGTTTTCTCAACATTCAAAACTAGCTTTAGCTGATACAGTTGTACAATGTTAAAAGCAGATTGTAAATAGGAAACAGTTTGATGTATAGTAGCAGCTCTACAATAAATAACGGTGTCATTAACATAAAAATGGAAATGAGCCTGTGGGATGTCTTGACCCAAGCTATTAATATAAATAGTAAATAACAAACAATATCACAGCAGTCAAGTTAAGATAAAAATTGCATAATGTTTGCATCAGAAACAACAGAACAGGGTCTGTAATGGCCAATAACAGTAACAATGATGTGTAAATGGCTATTTCAGGATTTAATGCTAAAATCTAGAACTGTTTAATAGTAGAGTAAGAAAATAAGACCCTGGTGTTACAATTTAGTACAGTAGTTGTAACGACACCCTCCTTCTTTAGATGATCACAATGGGCAACTGTGGACATTTATCATAAGGTCCTTATCTAAAGTAGATTTTAGACATCTGCATCTGTTTGGATAACCCATGCCCTGGCCAAGTCAATTTTTGGTAATAAACTACACACATTTAGATGAATTACACAATGCCAGAATGTATGACTACTTGGAGCATGGGTTTATACACTTTATGTAATAAAGTAATGGCCCCCCCTGACGAGGGGCATATGCAAAAAATGCTATACTGTGTACCTTGTGTAACCCCTGTGTTTGAGTTAAAAGCATAGACTGTATATCAAAAAGGTTAAAAGGTGCTTAGCAGCATAAGTGTTATCATATTAGGCTCTGACCCTGAGGTGTGACAGACTATCATGTTTATTTTAAGAGGCCTCCGATTCGTCCATGTAGATGGCAATCACGTTTCTAAAATTGTGCCTGGTTAAGGGGCGGGACCACCAGGCAGAGCAGATCTGAGTTAGGGTTAGCCTGCTGCGGCCAGTGTGTGTGTTTTCTCTGGAGGCAGTGACCAGCTGCAGAAGAAAGAAAAGTGTAATTTAATTAATATACAGGGACTGTTAGTAGCCTGGCTAGTTTATGATAGGTTTGTCACGCTGTTAAACTATTTTGTGTTTTGTACTGTGTTTGAGAGCTATTAGTCTGTAGATAGCAACAGGTTGGCACCTAACAGCAAGCTAATGTCCTACAGACACTTTCCCACTGACAGCACCCTGTGACCTGATGAGCACCTCTAGCTTAGAGGGAGACCATCCTGTGACTGTTTCTATCTTCATCTTTCTGAGGGGATTGCAAAATATGAGAACAGCGAGTCATCCAGATGGATGTTGCTGTGAAACTGGGCTTAACTTTACTGGGAAGGGTAAACATCGCTGCCGAACAGGCGCTCCATTGAGCAGCAAAACAAACAGCAAGGAGCTCAGTGACAGTCGGATCATAACGTTTATTAAACTCCATGGAAAATGTGAAACAGCACTGCGGGGCCACAAGGAGTCGGCGGATTCTCTGAAAAACTTCAGAGTCATCCAGAAGTTTGCCCAGAGGAAAAACCGCTTTCTCCTCATGTGAGTCTTCAGCTGTGGTGAGTGAAAGCATCTTTTATCATTCTGACTCTGCTGCTGGTCTGTTGCCAAATTGTTGTGCTGGATGGATTGATACTAGGCTATGGATTATGGATGTTGTCATAATATTGTTGTATAGCGGCTTTCATACTGGTTTATTATCTGAGATGATTATGCCAGTATGCCCTGTATGAAAGGTATGGAGCCGGGAAAGGGATATTGGTAAACAGTGTTTCCGTTACCATTGCAGGATCTATTGAAAGGGTCTGGATCCCTAAAATCTTGTATGTACTTGTTATTGTTGACTTTAGTGGTGTTGAGCTCACTGCTGTTTGCTTATTGCCCTGTAGGCTCATTTTTGTCTGAGCTTGGTTGTGTATAATAATGCATTGATTTGTGACAGTGGTGTAACTTGTGTAAATGCTTTCCTCTCATTCTCTCTTGTTAAGTGTTTTATGGAGCAATGCTATTTGGTGACACAGCAGCAAGATAGTGGATTGTAGTTTTACTGGTATCTATGTTTTGAAATGGTTGGTGCACCACCATTGTTGGGATATTTCAAGAATAACTATTCCAGTTGTTTGTAACAAGAATAACTAATTACTAAAAAATAATTACACAACTCTCTACAGACACATATTGTATTTTGAAATTAAATTGTTATTATATAGTCTAATATGAAAGAAAAATATCTTATGCCCTGTGAGATCTAATCTTGAGTAGGCTTGTTCCCAGAAAATGTTTAATGATAACTGTAAAAAAAGAAACCAAAGTATATCTGTTTGTGATTCCTAACTCAACTGCGTAATATAATTCCTTTATTCAGTTGTGATTTGTGGTTTTTGGTTTTAGTGTGCCACCCCAGGATTTCCAGTGGCCACATCTGGCCACCCCTAGGAAAATGTTCTGGATGGACAAGATAGATGTAAATCCTAATGAAGGAAAATACCCCAGGCTGAAAACAACCAGAATAATTCTTTTTGCTTGTGGTCTTAGTGGTGGATCTAATTGATTTATGTCATGCTCAGGGTGGAAATCTTTACAGTATTAAGAGCGACTGAAGACCAAATTACCCAGGAAAGTCCAAATAAAAATTTACACCAACCTACACAAAGGGTATGTAAGCAATTCAGCGTTAACTGTGTTACAACAACATTAAATATGGTTAGGATGTGTTTGGAGGTTTAGAACACTCTCCATTCACAGAACCATAACAGCCCAAAATGGCTCACAAGGCACATCTAGACTTGTTTAAAACACAAAGCATGTTGTGGTTCTGGTAAATTTGTGGCATCTTATATTTAAATTCTACACAGTAGATTTATGAATGTATTTATACTGATACATGTGCACACGTGCATTTTTGGCTGCAGACATATCCATAATGTATTCTTACGTGCAGATGGTGGTGAGCTGCATGTAAACTGTTTTGAACAGGAAGAAGCATGCGTAGCTGATCCAGATGTTGTCAGACATATCCATTAGGAATACAGACCCAGCGATCAGGAATGTGAAAACCCCCAGGACCAGCTCCCCCCACACAGACCACTCCAGAGACACGTGTCCCACAGCAACAGTGGCTGCAGCTCCTAGAGTAGAAACAATCACTGTGCAAGTCAGTGAATTACTTAGTACAATACAAAACTGTTATAGCTGCTGATATCTAATATCTAATTAGTGGTTTCATTATTTAGTTTAGGCATATTGTGGGTATTGTTTTGTTCTTTCAGAAATGTTTATAGGAATTCTTAATTCACCACAATGCAGTGACACAATGAAACTGCAACACAAACGTGTGTACTGTAATTATATTACATCTGGATGACAACATAAAAATGACAGAACAGTATCAATGAATAATCACTGAAAAATTTTTTTGAAGTACAAGATAATTTATCTCCATGTTTTTTTGGGGTTGGCACCTTTAGGCATTTGATATGACTTTGCCCTGATGTTAAAAGGTTCTGAAAATATGTCACTGATTTCAATATTAAATGTTGCCAAGATATCCTTCTGTCCAGCAAGAAAAAAACCCCTTCAGAATGTAGAAAAGCGAATACAGCGCCTTATTACATCTGCATTTCTTGGAAGTAAAACGAACAATCTAAACAAACTGCAAAATACAGAAAAAGGACTATAACATTATGGATGAGTGTCTCAAAGAGTAAATGAACTTGCAATGGAGCATCAACAATGAAAGAGTAAGCTGCAGTATTGGGAACAGACTGTATGATTTGATTTAGGAATTCAGATAATAGACAGAAGCCCCTTATATGGTTAATATATGTAGTGTGTGTGATGAATATTAATACGTCTACAGAGTATGTCATGCAATTGATTAGTCTTTGAAATTAATTTATGAAAATTTGCCTCACACTTCATCCCTCACAGTAATATCACCAGCAGCTTTAATTTTCACTGTATCACATGGTCTTTCAAAGAGTCACTTTTTAAATATTATAGAGAAAATGTTTTCTGTTACTATTTTGCAGTATTAAAATCATCAGCTAGTTGAAAGTGATGTTTTTCATTTCAGCCACAGGGTGGCACAGTGTAGCCCTGATACATCACAAGTCTTGTTTCACCAGATATGAAGTAGATATGAGTCCTTTATCCCTGTGGATGGATAGAAAGTCACAGACCCCAGACACTTAATCTTTTGAGCATTGACTATTAGGACACTTGTCTCCCTCCTTCCTTCATCTACTCCCTTCTCCTCTCCTTTGGCAATCATTCTGGTTTACTTACTGTACATCTCAGACTCTCACATTACTTTAACTGGCTTGCTACATATGCACCACATGTACCAACTACCTAACTAACTAGCGCTGCCTTCTAGAACATTGTTGTAATTTCTGGTGGTTAAATAAAAACTAAAGTTGCATAAAAATTAAAGTCACATTCACTGAGGCTAGCGTAAATACCCCAGAGTCCTCAGAGACATGGATCCATTCCCGCAGAGCTCTTTATCCACTCGACTATGAAGGAGGCGCTGGGTAGAATTGCTTTACTCTTTTAAATGTGTAGGCTACATTTCCATTGAGTGCTTGTCCATTCATGGTCAGTCAGCATTAATAATCCAACATGGAAACCACTCCGGCCAGTCTATGTATTTAACATGTACTTAATGTTCAGTTCCCTGACTGTAGAGGGGGGTCGAATGGAGACTGAATAATTAGACCAGTTTCCACTGCAGTGTCAATTGGAGGCTTAGTGGGTTCAGCAGGAGTAAGCCATACAGCTTCATTCAGGGGATCAACAATGCAGCTGGTCTCTACAGTATGTTCAAACATTGCAACTTCATGCTTAATACCAAATAGTTGCTCATATCTACAGTTGGTTTAATTGGATTTATTATTTTTTCCTCTAATTTAGTCCATTTTATATCTGACAGGAACATACTGTCAAGAGAAAGTTGACTTTGTAACCATATTAAAAATCCTGTCCCTTATACAGGTACATGTATATACTACTAAATTGTTGTGCGACAGAGAGAAGAAAAGTAACTGCTCCCTAGAATATATGCAGTAGCAAAGATTTTTAGAGTCCAGGAACTGTGGGGAGGTGGATATGGATAGCAGGATTGCAGATAGTGGGCATGCTAACCTTAAAACTCTATCACCAGACAGGAATGTCCCTATTAGGTGATTCTGCAAAACCTCAGATTAAAAAATGAAAATAATCAGCAGGGGTCAAGATATCCTGACTTTTAGTCCCTAGTATGATTCAAGCTCCCAAAACACTGGATTCTATTTTCCATGATGCATTTTAATAGCATATTTGGTAAGACAACCTATGGATGTCAACATCTTTCATACTGTTAAAAATATCAGGTCTTTAAGCCCAAATTGAGTTAACCCTGACGGCATCATCAGTTTCATTGTGGTTGTTTTGAAGGTTCAAACACAAGCTGCAAGTCACACTGAACCATTATGTAACGTGTAGCACAGATGGGGAAAAATATGTGACCTAATGCTGTGTTTTGCTTTTTACACCGATTAGATAACATCATACTGGATGTGTGTTGTATGTGGGGGAGTACATTGAATTTGCAGACTTTGAGCTCCAGTGTGTGGCCTAAATCTAAACCAAAATGTATTCAACCTGCACTTTCATGCCAAATTAAATGGAAAACCTTGGACATCCCTGACCCGGGGAAGGAATTCCTGACTGAAACTATGTTCTGAATACATTTTCCATTTACTTAAATATTCTGAATAAATTATCCATTGACTATGTTTGAAGTGTAAATCACTTGTAATTACTGCTTTAGAACACAGATAAATAGTTGGGTTGAGGTGCCCTGTAACTCCCTCTCCTTGAAAATAATACTGTACAAAACAATATAACTGAACATAACTAAGTTTGTTCTGCATACACATTTTGTTTTATCTTAATACTAATGAGTTACTAAAAAATGTTGTTTTCAAGCTCCAGGACATACAGTAATAAAATGCTGAATATGAAAATAGTAAATTGTGTTGTGCGCTTCTCCCATATTTTATCATGTTGGTAATCCATATTCATATTTCCCCTATCAGTTTCCACCAGGTTTTTTTCCTCAGGGATGTTTTCTAAGTGTGGAACAGAGAAAATACAACAGGAATCTTTGGGGAAATATCAGACATGGGCCCTACAGCTTGACTGCATGTTGGGCAGAACCATTTACAAGTGAAAGGCATACAGCTGGATATAGTTTACACAGAGTAATTGCCTTTGGTTTCTGGGGAATACAGGAATGTATCAGTACTATAATCAATAAAAGTGCACTGGCTGGACGGCAGCAGCTGCTAGACCCATCTGGGGATGAGATCAGGCAATTAAATAGTCTAATTAATGCTGCTCCTATTGTCTGCCGGGCTTTGGGGATTGAGAAATACTGATAGTAGAAAAGGATTGTGTTTTCTTTCTGTCTATTTATTCAATTATTTTTTGTAGTGGGATGCGGACAACACATAAGTTTTAATGAAAATGTTTGGACTTTGTTTGTACAAGAACATAAACCACTTCTGTTAATCTGGATTCACAATTAATCAGTTTTCAGATTTTGCACTACAATTCCTATTGAGTTTGGAGCAACAGTGCAGAATCAAACTGTCAATCATGTGAAATGTGGGTGTTTTTTCCCCCTCTTAATAATATATTTTTTCATTAGAAAAGCTAATGATAATCAAAGAAGGATTTAGATCCTAATATTGAGATCATTAGATCAACATTTTGGGAAACATCCTTATTCACTTTCCTTCCAAGAGTCAATTGAGCAGATCAATACCACTGTAACAAAACAAAATCCACCTACCAGCACCTCAGTTTACTAATTAACACGTTATGTCTTTTTTGTTTAATCTAAAACTAGACTAAAGACTAAAACCAACCTGTTGAGGTTTTACAGAGACTTATGTGCTTTTCTATTTCTTGGCCAGGAGAAGTAACTTCCTGGAGTCCTGTCATCACCATTAGGTTGCCAGGCAACTAGCTTATGTTAAGACTTAAGTTATAAGTCTGATGTATTAATGTAAGCAGCATTTTAATGTTGCAGCTTTATGAGGTGGCACATATTTTTCACTACTTAACATAGAAATAGTATCTATAAGTGTACATCATATTTTATAAGATGATCATATGTTTTGTGTGGGGAAAAATAACTAGTAACTATAGCTGTCAGATAGTTAAGTAAAAATTACAATATTTTCTTCAAAATGTATTGGATTAGCTGCTAAATACTCCACTGTGTTTACCAGCTACTTGCTATCTTTGTCTGTATGCTGTTTGTTGCTGGGCAAGTTGCACACAGGGTCTATCAGAGCTTTCTGCTGTGATTGGAAACTATGCTGATGAGATCACTGAGACAGAACCAAATCATTACATTCGTGGGCCAGAAAAAACAAAACAATAAGCTAAATATGTTAAGACGCTCCATAGAGCTGAGGGGAACTGGAGATAATTCTAGATATAGTAATTTGACCCATCGTTCATATTAAAATATGTTTATAAAAAAAAAATATAGGTTTAAGTAAATGTCCACATTCACTTTCTACTACTGGATGGAAAAGATCATATTGAGGAAGCAAAACAAATCAGTCGTGCATTAGTTACCTGACAATGTGCTGATGGCGTCCACCCCCCCATTGTAGGCTGTGAAGTTATGGGGCTGCATATAAACCCATAGAAGCTGGACGTAGCTTGTAACCTGGGTAAAGCCGCATCTCCCAGCAGCTGCCCATATGCAGAAGAAGAGCACAGCCGCAGAAGAATAACATTTCTTACAGTCCCATATAAGCCTTCTGAACATCCTCCCAACCTGCTTGGCAGCCATCATGCCCTTTACCCAGACAGAGATGTCCAGGCTTTCAGAGTCGTGATTGTCCTCAGCTGAGTTTCCCTGTTGTGCAGAATATGTTCTGTTAAGAAATAACCTGGACTCCGGCATGGGCAGGAAAAATGAGGTTATTAGTGATACAGAGACAGAGATGAGGGTCACAAAAGCTAAGCAATACAAGGACACACCACCCAAAGACACTAGCAGTTGTGCCAGCAGGGCACCAACAGCGTAGCCCAGCAGTATGGCCCCCCTGACGTAACTGGTCACTCTCTGATAATAGCTGGGCAGCACCATGCTGTAAATGTAGGAGAAATAGGCCACATCTGCTGCTGTGGCAGTGCTGTAGCAGAAGAAAGCCAACTGAGCCGAGTGGACTCCTGAGCCAACTAGTAACAGCAGAAATGCTGTGACATAGGTGAGCCCCTGGAGAATGATTACAGGCTTATACCTGAGGAAGTCTGTCACCAAGAGGATTGGGGCAAGGAGAACCAGGCTGGAGTAAGTCCACACAGGAATCACTTGTCTAGTTACCTGGATATGGAGGAAGGCAGACAAAGAACTAATTAATTTTGAAATACCTGCTGATGGCAAGAATATACATTATGATATATGAATAAACATTATGACAGTAGCACACCAGATGCAACTCCTCCTCTGTTCATTGTCAATGAAACATTACTTCAGCATGCTTATGATGGAACAGGATGCAGCATGAATGAGTTTCATAATGTGACAAGTTGATACATATTAATATTATGCAAAAAAGCTCAATGGCTGCTGCTTGAAAGCCAGGCCAATTTCAGCAAAATATGGTTCTTAAGTTGTTTTTTGTGTTCCACTCGCCTTGACTGAAATAATATTCAAAGATGGGTTTTTATGGCACTTGCATGATTTCAAAACGGCAACCTACTGTACATCTAACCTCCTGAGTAACAAAACAATGTAGATGAGCAGCCCGCTGTTGTATGTACATAGGTTCTACGTACTTGAAGTTCTCTAAAATATTTTATTTGACGGCTTTAGTTGAAAGTTATAATCCTTAAGATCTTCATGAAAATAAACCTTCATTGATGATTACGGGCTGCATTTGCTCTGTAATAGCCATTCAATGCATTCACATTCAATAATTTCCTCTCTGTACAGCAGGGTTCAACGTTGCCCAGTCAGGGCAAGTGTGTCAGAAACGTGCCGAAGTAAATTTTTACTTGCCTTTCCAATAACCAAATAACAACAAAGACTAAAGTTAATAGTCATGTTTAATCTTTATTTAAGAAAATTAATCAGAACAAGGACACAGTGTGTCATAGATGCAAAGCAATAAACATTCATGCATATTGAAAATGGTATGCCAATCCCCCGTCCTTCACCCCAGAAACAGACTCGTTAACTGTTAATTTAGCTACTTCCATCATCAGCTCAGGAACAAACGATGTATTTAATTCTAGTTGCTAGATTTACAGTACAAGCCTGGCGTGACATTTTACTTGCTCCGGGCAATCAAGTAATCCTTATTGTTGAGCCCTGCATAGTAGTTTTTATTGACCAGTCTGCAATCGACACGCTGGATTCAGATTGCTTATAAGCACAAGGGATTCATAAAAAATGCATGCTTGTTATCCAGTGCAATTTTATCTCATTGATATTAGTCTCACTTTTTACTGTTGGCAATCTTTACAACGTATCAGACCTGTAATAAGCCACCTCTAATGTAAACCGAATATTTCCCTTGACTGTTTCTTAAAGCGTGCAACTAGCCATTTGCATCAGCGGATCACTTAAAATTTTTGCAAGGGAGTAATGGAACAAGAAGAGATGAAGCGTTCAACTCCAACTTAGCAAAGTAACCAACCTTAATACCTCAGGCTGTGTAAGTGAAAACAGGAATTGCAGGTTGATAGTCTTCCCTAAAAAACATCTACACTATACACTTTGAGCACACCTTGGTATTTGTGTAGTCACTCTAGTATCAAATATACTTTGTTGAAATGGTCGGAACAGGAAATTGAATTTGTGTGGTCTGCGCTTGTTCACAAAATTAGTCGATATCTATAGCTTCATATGAAATCTCAGAAGCCACTCAGGACCACAGGTTGAAAAGGTAATTTGTATCACACATGGCTGAGCATCGAATGAGTGCACATTGAGTGTACCTGCCATAATTTGTGTGAACAAAGCAGCTCTCATCCTGCCTTGTACATCACAGAGGTGTGAAGGACCCAATTTAGTTTTTTCTTTATTCCACCATGTGAGGCAGGTTGAAGTATAGGCTATCCTGTTCTCCTCAGTTTGTACCAAACTTTACTTCAGGAAAAGAGAAGGATACTATGTCTTATATACTGTATATCTAGTTACACTAAAAAATAGCAAAAATGACTAACATGGTCATCAGAAATGTAGAGATGGTTTTGCAGTGCAATTACCCAGTTCCCTAAGGCTGTGAGACTCCTTAATTCATCCTCAGCAATCCACTATGTAAAATTTCTATGACTTATTATTCATTCATTTTGTACATAACGTTTGTTTTTTGAGTAGCATAAAGGGAACTACAACTTAATCTTGGTATACATCCCTGTGTTGTAAAATGATGAATAAATAAATCTATCTTGTTTGCTAAGGGTAGTTATAGTCCCTAGAGAATAACTTTAATAATAACTTAGGAATAACTTTCCTATACTGCCATTTACACAGACAAGTGAGTTGTGGATATCCCTGCACACAAAGAAGCTCATGCCCACATCCTTCCAAATCGCAATAACAAGTCATTCTGTTCTGAGCATCAAGCAAGCTGATTCATTGATCCAGCTCCTGTCAGGAGGTGGGCTCAAAATGGAAAGAAAATAAGAAATAAATGTTAAACTAATAATTCTTTAGCAAGTATGTAATTAAAAACAGTCCTTGTAGGCCAGAGAAGCATCGCAAATATGTAGTTTTTTTGTGTTGTGGCATGTAGTGGCTGCTAATGGATCCGTGGTAGTTAATGTAGTCATAAGTATACATGAAAAAAAATAGTCATGTAAATGTCAACATACACCTTTTGTCTACATTTTTTTTTTTTTTACATTATTCATATTAATTTTATATTAAAACAAAAACTGAGCAAATCTAATAACCTAAGGCTTCCATCACTGTATGACAGTCATATATCTCATTTCATAGCTCAGTACTTCACCTGCTCGCTGGTGAGATTCTTGTAAGTTCCCGTGAGAAACTCTGTCATGAAGGGCTCTATGGGTCTCATCATGGAGCAGAAACCATAGATGCAGAGCAGCACAGTGGGGCCCACCCAACCAGCGTAGCAGGGCATGTAATGGTCTGCCCAGCAAGGCCTGTTGCCACACTCCCCGCTCCAGCAAAAACCCATCGTTCCTCTCCGGCTCCCCAGGGACTTCTCGCTGTGTCTGGTGAGAGCACAGTCTAATTTAGGCAGTTTAATCTTTTGAGATATGGAAGCCCCAGATAAGGCCAAGGTGAGACTGACTATGAACACCAAGTCACCTGCTTTGCCATTGTTGTTCCTCTGAAGTTTTCCTGGCTAAGGCGAGACAGGAAAAAATGTGAGGCTGTGAGTGAAGATATATTAAGATGAAATATGAGGTGGTGAGCCCCTGGGGCTCCAGCAGGTTATAATAAATACTGCCTCCTCCTCTGTCTTTATACACAACACCCTCATTCCTGCAGATATTGAGGAAGGGGTGGAAGTGAAGCAGAGGAATATGCATGAGTGCGTGCGTCTGAGTGCCGATGTACGCACCACCGTGCTGCCCCATACACACATGTGTGCCTGTTTAGCTTCTGCCACCATTAATCAGTGGAGTCCAAAACAATGTTTTATGCATATAATGTTTCAACGCGGTTTAGTTCAAAGAACTAATAAAAAACTATACTTTTACAAAATAATTAATGCTTCTTCTTCAGTTTTATAAATAAAAAATATAGTACTGTAGGTACTTGGGCAAATCCACAATTATCACTCAGCTCTAAATTTAATTCACCCAAATTTCCAGAGTAGCTCATCTGACCAGATAATCCTGATATTCAGCATTTTGTCTTTGTGAGTTTCATAAATAACAAGTTCATAACTTTAAAGTTAGTTTTGGAGTTTGAATTTTCAATACTGAGAGAAAGAAATAAGCAAGGCAATCATTCCAGAGATGAGAATTACTGTAGTCTGTAATTTAAAATATCCAACGGCGAATTATGACTCACCAGTGGGCTGTCAACAGAAAGCTCTGCCTCAGCTCAAACTGTCAGACTGTCTCCATGACTTAATTCTCAACATCAAGGTCACTGGCAATGAAAATATTACTCGTATTTATATATTTGGCATTTTTAGTTTAATGTTGTCAGATTTACAGTAACATGGTGTTCAGTGAATATGACTGGAGGGAGCAGACACAGAAACACTCAATTTGACCTTTACAAAGTAAAGAAGTTTTACTAATATTTTGCTTTATTGTATTCTAATCTATTAATTAACATAATCTTTTTGATGGGCTGGTATTAATATCTGTTTTAGAACCAGTAATAGAAAGAGATGGTTATCATTTTCATAAAAGGCGCCAGCATACCTGAGTTTTCATTCATATGCTACTGTTATGAATGTTGCTGGCATTTAACATCCTAAGTTCCAACTCAACATGTGTCCTAGAAACCGTTTTTACTGATGTGTTAGTTACATTTTGATGGATAGTTGCTGCTTTGGTTATGTTCATTGGCAATGTTTTTTTTTACCAGTGAAGGAAGTGCAGCCTTTCTTTGAATGAAATGTATTTGGGTGATAATATGTTACTCTCAAAACATATTTACTATTGCAAAGTAGTACCATACAAACATATTTTGTAGGAGAGTGTTGGAATAGGTAAGCTTTAAAAGTTCCCCATTACAACACCCAACTGGGGAAGACTATACACCTAAGGAATTAAGAGCAAAAAAAAAAGGTTAGAGTTACAGACATTTTCCTTGCTCATACTTTAAGTACTTGTAATTGTTTAAAGTTCCGTGTCTGTTAATGTGTGACTGGCTCACCTCTCTTTGATCATACTTTTTTTCTCAATCTCTTTTCCAAGTGTGATCTTGTATAAAACCAGGAGAAGTGCCTCACATGTTCTCAATGCACTCAGTTCCTGAATAAATAAAGCTTAACTGACTAACTTATAGTAACATAATTTGTCCTTTTTATCTTTCGGCATTAATCTAATCAGTACCACTTTTATATACTCTTTGTATTTATTGGATTGCTATGTTTGCTTTGGAAGACATATTCAACATATATGTTATATATATATATTGCTCAGCTAATTTATAATAAACATTGACAGCTATAATAGTATGTTTTTAGATACTTGCCAAACAGTTCTCTTTCCTGGATATTCTGTATCATATTTTTTCCTATACACTTATAATGGTCTAATATAATATAATATAATATAGTGAAATAAATTATAACAAAAACACCCGACATAAAAATAACATTAACACAACACGACTGCAAGATGCAGTGCCAAGATCACCGGATCTTAAGCCCTCGCCCACTCTCTGGACTCATTACGCTCTTAATCATCTCTGACCTGCAGTCTTATTCCTATTCATTTACAACAGACAGAGATGGACCTCATTGTCACTTTGAGGAGCCAGGCTACCTAATTTTCTTTTTTCTCTATAATATTCTCCAGACTAAAGTGATGATCAAAGGCATCTATCTTCCATTTCCCCTTCCTTTCCATCTGTAAGTTCACTGATAAAGATAGTGTAAAGATAGACAGCCTTGTGATAGCTTGAACAGATCAGGGCCCGTGGGAGGCAATGGCAGGTAAATGTCTGAAATTGCCTGCTGTGCGCAGTAGGGCCAAATGGAGCTCAGCATGGTGAAGGACATCTAAAGGCTCATGGAACTGTATTACTTTGTGTCACCTGCACCCCTCAGAAAAAAAACATCTGAAGAAGAAACTATGTGGAATTTGGGGTGAACTTGGACTGAGATTGACACTTTGTCGAGTAAGCTCTGAAATTCTGTGGTTGACCCTGCTGTGAACAAGAAGTTTGTTCATGGTTTAGCCCCACAGCCAACACTTCCAAAAAACTGTAACAGCACAGCAAGGATAGAACATGACAACGTCCTCTATAAGAAATACTTATTAAAATCTCACCTTTGTCAATGGGAAATCTTTTACTACATATTTTGTTCTCAACAGCATTGCACTTGGGTTATTAAATTACCCTTCTATGGCCATGCTTAATATTTCAATTAACCTATTTATCCCTTCTTCATCGTCACTTCTGAATTGCAGCATTTGACATAGTGAGTGTTCAAAGCCAACCCAGATGCATTGATTCTGCTTCACAGACCAAACCCATCTTCCCACAGTCTCCTTTTTTTCTTTCTTGCTGGCAAATCATATGAGGCTGCTGCAGTCAGAAGCCTGACTTTGAAACAAACAGTGAGTGTGTGTTAGGTGGAGGGTGTGTATTGAGGTGTTTGTGAGACTCAGATAAGCATATGTGTGCAGTGGTTTGGCTGCAAAATAGAACTCCCACTGTGTCGAGCTGATAAGACGTGGAAGTTCGATGCGTTTCTTTTTTCCCACCCTTCATTATGGCTCTTGTTGATTTCACTGGACAATGAGTTGTACTTATAATTAGGTGGCTGAAGCAAGTCTGGTTTACACAATGAAGACAAACACAATATAATCCAACATCACTTACATGCTGTTTCATATTTAAAATACTTAGAATTTACATATGGTAACACTTAATTTGGACAGTGCACATTTGATATAGTGTCATTTGCCTATTCATGGCTGGATTAGAGGGTTTGAGGTACAAATCTGCTGTTGAGCCAATGTCAAAGTCTCCACACCAATTTACTTATGGATATATTAAGTGAGAATAATATGAACTAATATAGCATTAAAGGTGTTATGATTAGAGTTTGATTAAGCAATTATACAGGACGTGCCTTAGTTGAGATTGTACTTGCGATGTACCAGCGATTGTGATGCGCTGTGAACCTTGGATTTTGGCTCTAGAGGGCACAGTTTACCCATGTTGCCCAGCTGGTAATTTAGGCATTTTCCTATTACCTGTATATAATTCTAACCTAAGCATGAACCCAAATCATTAAACAATGTTTTCCATATTTTAAACCTAAGTCACATACTTAATATATTCACACATGATGTACAATATTTCAAATTGTTACTGCACAAAAAATAATCTTTTGAGCATTCTGGTGTCACGAATGAGTGTTAAAACATCATTGCATTTGACGTTTTTAAGGAAGACTCTGGGCCAGAAACACTAAAAGATGGTCATAATGAAGAACCCCATAACACTAGATGGAGCTCTTGCTTCAACATACACCAACACACAGTAACATTACTCCTCATCTCTGTGATGCAGGGTGCTCATGACACATTCCTGACAATTTTGACAGTCTCAGCCTCAAACTTGTGAGAGCTGCAGAAAGAACAGCACATGATTGACACACTGATGGACAGACAAACTGTGAAAACCTAAAAAACCAGCTGTCCTTGCCATGCGGCCATCTGCCACTTCCTGTCTAATTAGATGATGAGTGCTTTGATTGGAATGTGGGCTAAATTGCTTGATATTTTGTCCTCATGTTTTGAATTATCTTTAGATTCTTTAGTGTTTCTATACAGTAGCAATAGATGTAGCATAATTAGTAATAGGACTGGCAATATAAGCAGTAAATAGATCATAGCTGTAGTTGACAACAGCTGTGATATATTGACATGCTTGTACTGAAGTTGTAACTTGGTCTACAGAATCATATAAAGAGTTGCATTGTTGGCTTACAGCTAAGCCCCTTTGACATTTTGTTCAGTCGACCACGCGGTAACATTTCCTGACACTAAGAAATATTGTAAAGATCCAGGATTTCACAGGATGTAGTATTCACCTACAGAAATGTGGAAAACAACATGCTTTATCCTTCCAACTCTGACCAGAATCTATAATATGATGGACACCTCTGGATGTCTGGACATCGCTGCTGTGATCAATACCAGAAAAGATATGATTCATACAGTAGAACCAATTTGTCACAGGGGCAAGTTCCTCCTTTTCGCTGTCAATCTGATGAAAAATGAAAAATAACCTTTTTCATCATGGATTCTGGTATAGCACTGTTTTTGTCAGCCCTGCCGAATAACATAGCTATTTTCTTATGTGATGCATAAATAAATGATCTCAGTTTCCAGTGGAAACACTGCCATGCCAATGACTCTGGATAATTATCTACTGTGGACAGCCAAGCAAATCAAGAAATTACGTTGAAGTGTGTGTAGGAATCCACCCCAATGGACTTGGTTTAAAAAAAAAAAAACTGAAAAGAAAAACTTGTGGAATTCAAATGTCACTGAATATCAATACGTCAAAGGTACTGTAAAGCTCACAAGGAGCTTTTTCCGATCAACACTTCACATTTGAGCCAAGTGGAACTATGGCTGTCTGCACTGAACCCAACCCTGTGACATTTAAAAGGGGAACCAAGGAAGGGTTTTACTGCCCCATCGCACAAGATGACAGTAATATCTCCAGGTGTGTGTGACAGGGATGATAGCAGTAGTTAGAATTTGTGGCACTCAGCTCAGTTGGCCATACTTGTTATTTCGCTTTTAACAGAAGCTCTCTGTCCATTCATCCATTCACAAAAGTCCAAACTATCCATAAAGGTGTGCAAGTGCCCTGCACCACGAGACGTTTTTTGATATTCATTTGAAATTAAATATCTTACTCATCTTTTACGCCAGTGGTAGAGAGTACAATGAAGAAGATTACTAAAGAAAACATTTCATTTTATTTAAAAAAATCAAAGCAGGTCATTGGGATGCTAGGGACTACATTATAGCCATGCTGGCAGCTCTGTGAGGTGCTGCTTTGTGCTAAATGCTAACATCAGCATAGTAAGTTGCTCACAATAACAATGCTTAGCAGGCATAATGTTTACGGTGTTCACCATCTTAGTTTAGTGTGTCAGCATGCTAACATCTGCTAATAAACACTAAACACAAAGTACAGCAGATGCTGAAGTGAATGTCATTAGTTGTGCTGGTATTTTGGCCATAAACTAAAGCTAATACTAATAAAATGTTTGACACGATGATGGCACTAGAGGAAACATCAGGGGATACAATTACTTACTTAACTGAATGGCAATCCATTTGACAGTTGTCGAGATATTTCATCGTGGACCAAAAAAGTGGACCTATTGACCATCCACTGACATTGTCTTGCAACATGTTTTTAATAATAAAAAAAAATAATAATGGCCTTGCTGTGTATAATGTCACAGGGTTCATCTATCTTACAGGTTTCCGAAGTTCCAGAGGATGAGAATGGTAAGACAAGTGGAGACTGCTATTTCTACTGGTCCTACAGAGGTCACAGATGACTTAATACCACTTTAACAAGTCCTAAACAGATAAATGAATTGACCGACTCAATATGGCAATATTCACGCCAGTTAAAACATATCTATTAGAAGCCATGCATTAAAACTCATTAGGGCTCGTTTGGAAAGGATGGGAGGTCTTTGGCACCAATCAATCAAGGTCACTGCTAAGATGATGCCATGCCGTAGCTGGAGGGCTCTTAGACTGATGAGTGTCATTGGCTTCTGGTGAGCGCTGAATGGCTTATATTCCACACACTGGGCTCCCCTCCTTGCAGACGAGTCCTGTTCTGACAGAGAGAGCTGCAGGAAGAGGAAGGAAATAAAAGCTGACATATCAGCACCCTCTCCACATCTTGTCAGAGTTGTCCTCTTTTGGCCCGATCCAATATCCAGAACCTCTTGTTGTCGTTTTCTTTCTCTCTTTCTCTGTCTGTTTTGTTCCCATTCCTATAGGCTGATCAGGTTAGCTGTTCATTAGCTCCCTGTGTGGGGGTGTGCATGTGTGCAAGCATACTTTCAGTACTCCTTTACCGGTACCTCTTCCTCTTGTTTCTGTCTTCCCACTCTTTACCATCTTAATTTCTCTGTTTATTCTCTCTGCATCGTGCTTAAAGTAATAGATCCAGATTTGTCGGGGTAATCGTGGCAGAGGAGGAGGATGAGGAGAAGGAGTAAGAGGAGTTTAAGAAGGAGGAGGAGGAGGAGGAGATTAGCGTAACAGTTATTTGGTGTGCTGCTTTTTGGGTTCTGTGCACCACTCAGCCTTTCGTTTGACAGCTCTTATCCAGATCCTTCAGGGTGCTTCCTTCCGCAATCAACTAATCATATTCTTTACAGTGCTGTCTTTTGTGAGACTCTCTATTTTTGGCTCACATCCGAACAGGAAACAGTATTTAGTGCTTGTCATTTGGGCAGAGATATGAGAGCTGTATAAGCTCAGGCAGGATTTGAATCCTGCTAATAATTGAGATAATTGGTACCAAAAGCAAACATTTAGGACACTTGGCCTCCTCTTACATAGACAGATAGATAGATGGATAGATGGATAGATGGATGAGGGCAAGGCAATCAGTTTGTGACCTTTTCCCATATTTAAAGACCAAACACACTAAAATAACACTGGATGTCTCTAGAAACACAGATCGTTCATTTTAACCTCTAGGCAATGTTGCCAGTAAATGTGCCTCTTTGTGTCCTTTCTTTTAATCATCAGTCCACGTTAATGGGAGACATGAAAGAAGAGAGAGAAAGAAAAGTCAAGGGAAGATAATGAACTGCGCTTGATTTAGGCATTAATTATTCTAATGAAAGCAGGATATCCACTTTGAGGTCAAATAGAGCTACCTGCAGATACATTTGGTATTGGAAGTCACACTGTATTTTATTAATACATTCATAGAAGAGGGGTAGTGTGGGTGAATGCTACTACTTCATGACCTTGCCCATTGAGTTACCCTTTTGTTGGTGCTCTCTCTTAATGGGATTGCTTCATTGTGAATTAGTACTGCATTGTTGGCTGTCTGAAAACAGCAGGCAATCGTATCTCTGTGAACTGCAGTACATTATCATCACTTGACAAAGAAAAAGACAATATTGTTGAATCATAGCACTTATTTTCTATTTAAGACTACATTTGAGTTACTTCCAACTAGCAAAACATGATATATTTAATGAAACAAAAATTTTTAACTTTATACGTATATTCCCAGCGTTTGTTTTGACTTGTGTACTTATGTGGTCAAAATTGTAATGACCACAAATATTTGTATGGAGCATAGACTGTATATAAGAAATGGACGTAGTCCTCGTGACGTCACCCGTTGGTTTGTGGACTGCCGTTTTGAAGCCTCGAGTTTGGCTGATAGGGCGCCGCCATGTCGAGTTTTTGCAACCAGGAAGTGCCCGGAAGTGATGATACGGCGGAGCTAACGGCCGTGTGCGGAGCTAGCTAGCTAGCTTAGCTAGGTGCAACTGTAACTCACGTTAACTGTCATTTTAACAGGGCTGACAACTTTGTCTAGCGAACAACAGTCTTAAAACTACACAGCCAACAGCTGGTTAAATTTACACAGCGCCGAGGGTACGAGTCGGCTCTAGCCTGATTGACAGGTCGCCATGGTAACGACTTGTCAATCATAGATAACCCCGCCCTGAAACATACTCTGCTTTGTGGTCTATTTTAAAATAAATGGGACCATAATTTACTAAATTAACATCATTTTGTGTTGAAGAAGACTTGAAACTAGCGACTGAGACCATAAACTCATCATGAAAGTGTTTACTGGGGTAATTATTCAGCTGAGAAGTAGGGTCATTTTGCCATTATTTCTAATGGAGCCGGACTTCTTTTTGCAACCAGAAGAGTCGCCCCCTGCTGGATTTTCCATAGAATGCAGGTTTCAGGGACTTCCGCATTCACTTCATATTGCAGACTGGAAGCTTCCCGCTTGGTATGGAGTGATAGTGCTCCCTACATTAGTGTTCCCTTCAGGCTTGACATTTTGGTTCAAAATCTGTGTGAAGTAAGAATAGTTTATAATTGCACTGTAATTTTGCCACACAAGCAGTTAACCAGCAGCAACAACTAGCTAGACCTCTTCCTTTTTTCTAATGTGGGACAACACT